CTCTCTGCCTACGGTTTTACCGGGCAGTTCTGTTTGTGATGATATATATATATATATATATATATATATATATATATATATATATATATATATATATACACACACAGAGAAAGAGAGAGTGGCAAACAAGGTCGGAGGTGTCACCATCTTGCACCCGCCGCAACCATCGACGCTCGGCCCCGTCTCCGCGCCTTCACGATAGCTGCCGCCTCCACCGATTCTTGTCTCGGTTTTCGGGGGCGTGATCCCAACCGCAGTGGCCGCAGTTCCGACCGGGGCGGGCACGGTCCCGACCGCTGTGTGAGGACAGGCGTACGGGAAAAGGTGATCCACGTTGTACTGGGTCCTGGGGCCTGGGGATTGGGGTGGGGGGGGCGGTGCCGTGGACGCGGGGAATACGACATCAACTGACTGCGATGACTTGAGGTGCGACATTGGGAAACGACATCGGCGGCTAGACCGGGGGGGACGAGGAGTTTGTTTAAAATGACTCGGGGGGCGGGTGGTTCGGGGGGGGCAGATTTTATCCCCGTTTGGGACGCTGAGATGGCGAAGCTGAGTAGGGTCTCATGCATCTGGAAATACGTTATGCTGGGGCAACCAGTGGGCACATGGAAGAAGATGCACGGTGACCGCAAGTTGCGATGCAACTTTTGCAAGCACCTGTGGCAGGGGAACCAATCGAAGGCCGCGAGGCACTTCTGCAAGTTGAAGAAGTGCCTTGTTGCCCAGTTGGACGTGCTCGTTGACATTTGGAACAGCACGAACTACAAATTCGATGACCGATATCACACATCCATTCGCGCATACATGGAGGAGCACGGCATTAGAGACTCGCGAGTGGTTGCAGGAGGTGCACGGTCGTCAGCGTCACCTTCCACTGCAGGCAGGGACGAAATGCAGGACGTGCTTGATGAGATGGAGGAGCACGAGGGGGTGATGTTGCCAGGGGAGGAGGTTGTGATGACGTCACGCGGGGAGGACCCTGCAAGGCAACAGGGGAAGAGGCCGATGGGGGAGGCCGACCAGGCTGCGACCCGACCGGGGAAAAGGGTCCACCAGAGCAAGATCGACGAGGTCTACGATGCGGATAAGCAGTCGGTCTTCAAGGACAAGTTTCTGTAGTGGATCTACGACTCCTGTATTCCATTCAACGCCTTCAGGACGCAGTCGCGGAGAAAGGCGACGGATGAGATCCCTAGAGGAGTGCGGATGCGATTTTCTCCCTTCAAGGAAATCGGTGGAGACCGAGTTCCTTCGCAGAGGGCGAAGGTGGCGGCTTTGCTACGGGAGGTCCGAGAGTCGTTTTGTCACAGCGGTGCCACCATCTTGTCGGATGGTAGGAAATTGCGTGATTCACGACCCATCGTGAACTTCCTTATCGCGGGTGCAAATGGCGCCCTGCTCTATGCCAACATTTGTCGCGACCGTTCCGTGCCGGATATGGGCGCCATTGTTTTCCGCAGGTGGAGGACCATCATTGAGTCCTTCCCTACGAAGGACGTCATAGCGTTCTGCACGGACTCCGCTAGTAACTACACAGCAACCGCCCGTTTGTTCGCCGCAGACCCTGATCTAGTGGTCCGGCGCATCACTTGGCTCCCCTGCTCGACCCATGTTTGCAATTTGATGTTGTTAGACATTGGGACACGAGTGGGTTGGGCAGTTGACACCATCATCTGCGCACGAGCAATGGTGCGTTTTATTAAATCGCACGGCGCAGCTCTCTCCCTTTACAAGAGGAAGAGCCCGCGTGTTTCGCTCGTCCAGCCAGTTGAGACTCGTTTCACATCAGTTTTCATGATGTTGACTTGTCTCCTTGGGAGACGCGACTCACTGGAGGCGATGTTGCATGACGACGCCTGGGCGAATATCCCGTGGGAGTAGAGGCTGCTGCCCCAAGCGAGATGGGTGCGTCTCCAAATTCGAGATAGCGAGTTCTGGCGACTTGCGGAGTTCTTGATCCATGTGATGGTGCCCATCCATCAGCTCCTAAGGCGGATGGACAGAGGAGGGATGATGATGTCCATCGTCTACGAGTGGAGCCGTCATCTCGTTCAACTTCTGATGAAGATGGACGATGTGCCGGCTGATCTTCTGACCCCGTGCGTGCGAGAGGTCAGGATGCGGCTCATGCACTTGTTGGAGCCCGCGCACGCTGCCGCTCATCTCCTAAACCCCCGTCGACGGTCTTTGAGGTACTACGAGTCCCTCCACACCATGACGGAGGATGCGGAGGTTGTACATGAGTGTGATCATTTTCTCCTTGCCCAGACTGCAGGTGATCCGACATGCAGGGATTACCTCCTTGTCCGTTACCAACTGCGTCGATTCCATGCGCGTAGAGGAAACTGGGGTGATCAACTGGTATCGGATGCCGAGGCGGACGATTGTCAGGGAGATCAGGAGACGCACCATTGTGCGGCATGGTGGTTTGCCCACGGGACTGCCCACCCAGAGTTACGTGCTATCGCTGTCCATGTGATGCACATGTGGACGTCGGCCTCTTCTGCCGAGAGGAATTGGGCGGCCCACGAGCGCATTCCGACGGCAAAGTGGAGCAAGCTTTGCTTTGCGAAGATGGCGCAACTGGTTGAGATTAAGACAAATCTCAAACTGGCTTCGTGCAGGCAGCAAGATGGTGGGTATGTGCTTTTGTGGGTCATGGATGGCGTCGACACCGAGAGACGGCGGCAAGACGAGGACGAGGACGGCGGTAACCCCGAGTCTGATGTCTGGGGGGCGAGACCTGTTGGTACCTTCAGCGATCGAGAGGTCAGGAGGCAGATCGAGGTTTTTCGCAAGGACGGCACTAACCGTCCACGAGAGGTTTCTGCCGTCTTCGGGGATAGGGCGGCCACTCTGCTCCCTTTCGACCATGTGCCTCCTCCGAGTCCTCCCCCATCCCGAGGAGTAGGAGAGGGTTCTGCGGCAGTCGATGAGGATGGAGAGGACGATTGGACGGACGCAGAGGACGTTGTGGGGGGCACAGACAGGACGGCGGAGCAGGTTTACTTCCCATACGGGGGCGGGTCGGACGGCCATGCACCACGGACGTCCGTCATCACGGACAATGTTGCAGGCGGGGCACAGGGTCGCGCCACTCGACGACCCCAAGCGGGTCGAGGTCGTGGCGCCGTTGCTCGCGACGTTCCCCCACGCGCGAGGAGAGTTTTAGGGGTGGACTCGAGTGGCGATGATGAGGGCGAGGCAGATGACGCCGACCGCCTTCGTAACCCTCGGTTCGATCCGAGCCACCACTCTAGGGAGCAGTCAGAGCATCTTCATCGGTCGCAGAGGTTGGCAGAGTGTAGCGGTCCGGTGTCTCAGCAGCCTAAGGACATACCGGTAGTTGAGGGGACCCTCTCACACAGCGGCCCCGCTCAGGTCGCGACATAGGACCTGCGCACCAGCGATTTCGATATCGCGGATTCGCATGGGGGCTCGCCTGTCTTACGATGCAGAGTGGGTGACAGAGATGAGTACAGGACGCCTGTCTTACGAGGAGAGGGACACTCGCCTGGATCGCGAGGAGGAGGCACGGTTACAGTTTATGCCTCGGTGGGATGGCAGAGAGGCGTACGAGGCAGAGGGAGTTAGAGACGATAGGAGCGGGTTCACCATCGAGCGTCGGACCATTGCCGACTTCAGACACGATGCAACCCCCTTCCCATGCTGGGAGTGTTGGTGCTGACACATGTGGATTGGACGCTGGCGGCGGGGGGCTGGCAGATATGCGATGCGAGGGAGGTGATGTTGGGGGTCTTGAGACAGTCGGGCAGACTTACGAGCTGAGAGCTCCAATGATGGCGAGGAGTGTGAGGCCGCAGAGGCTATCGTACACGATGTTGTAGTTGGCATATGCGCGGCTGGCACAGATGGCGGGATTCATGGAGGGGAGGAAGAGATGGTGGACGAGGGCATTGTGCCTTTGGATGATGATGCAGCACAAGTTGAGGAGGAGGGAGCAGCAGTCCATGCAGGCCACAGTGCCCCGTCGGTGCGAGATGGTGAGACCGGAGGGCATGTTGAGGAGGAGGGAGCGGCCGTCGACATGTCCCTCGTGATTATTGTTAGGCCCCCGTTGGTGCCAGATGTAGATACTGGAGGGCATGTTCATTCGGGCGCCCCGGTCTCTTTCTATGCAGGTGGGTACTCCAGGGAGATGCCTCAGTGGGATGGCGGGGAACCGGGGGACTGCACACGGACCCCTTTCCGTCCGGAGCAGCTGGAGAGGTTGGGGACGGAGGACCCTTTCCCGTTCACTGGTGGACAGCCATCGCATCCCGCGTGGGCACCAACGAGCCCTAGGTGAACTGGATCATCGCAGTCCGACCTCTGCGAGCGGGAGTCCTTGGACAGACAGGCGGCAGTGTTTTGAGGCGGGGTTGCCAGCAGCCATATGCAGCCATTGCAACGCCCTTTATCTCGAGCATTGCATCAGGGACCGACACTGCCCACCGGTCTTCCACTGATTGGTGGTCGAGGCAGCGGACGGGGATCTTCTTCGAGTCATCGAGGTGGCGTTTGGAGGGTGGTCGTCTTGCAGGCGAGTGATGGACAGTTTGAGGAGGGACTACGATAGAGAACAGGGGCTGTTCGTACGAGGACCATCGGGGGAGGAAGAGCCTGCAGCGGGTGCGTGTGAGGCGGGACGACCGAGTGTCCACACAGCAGGACGTATACTCGGATTGGATAGAGTTGCGACGAGGAGGACCGAGAGGATGGTGCCGCATCCGGCCCGATCAACCATGGAAGATGGACGACAGGGAGTGCCATACACATCGGGCGAGGATGACATGCATATGCCACAGGGCTCGAGACGTTATGGCTCGCTCATTGATCTTGACTCGCAGATTGGTACTGAGGAGCAGCGGTTGGCGGAGCTGATTCGAGAGCGTGAGAGGAGGTCGGAGACGGAGGCAGCCGGTCCGAGAAAGTATCGGAGTTGGTTTGCATGACCGTGAATTGGCCTTGAATGTGGTCCGTATGTGCTAAAGGATGACCAGTGCAGGGTCTGACTGCGTGGTGGGGCCCGAACTGGCGGCCGCAGGGGTGGGAATCTCGATCGAGTCAGACATGGTGTCACGAGCTAGGAACGCAAGGTCTTCGCTGATGGAGCGGGAGGGACTTGTAAAGTCAACACTTTGCATAGAATCAGGGGATAAAGAAGATGAAGAGGGGGAACGAGGGGGCCGCTCAGTGGCAGCGATCGGCGCATCAAAGCGAGCGAGCCGGTGTGCAGCGCGGGCGTCTCGAGTCTGCGTTAGGGGACTGGGAAAAGAAGGCTCGTAGAAATAGAGTCTAACAAATTTATGAAGTTGAATGAAAAAAAATTCAGARTSAGATTGAGGGAGGRAGAGAAAAATTCTCAATTCCAGCAAGAAAATGAGAGGAGATTTTCACAGAATGGCGTGGGGCATAAAGAAATTGAAAGAATATTGAAGCAAAATTCAAGGAATTTCAAAAATATTCGTCAAAATTTCCAAAAGTTCAAGGAGATGATAAAACATGTAGAGATGAGTACAGAGAAGGCTTTTGAATTAATTTGGATAATTCCTTAACGTATTTTTGGAATTAAGATAATTTCAAAGGTGATTTGAAATAAAAATAGAACATTTATTCCTAATTGAAGAATTTATGGTGAAATGGCAGAAAAAATTGAATGACAGTCAAGTAAATTGAATTGGGAGGAATTTGAAATTTATTTAGATAAATTAATAAATTGTATCGACATGTTGTAAATTTAAGAAGAATTTCAAAAAAAATTCAAAAGAATTTCAAAACGAATTGCGGAATTTTAGAAATTTACGAGGGATATAAAGTAGAAGTAGAGTGGACGTTAGAAGGATTAAATTTAGTAAATTTTAAATTTTATTTTACGAATTTATGAAATAAAGTTAAATTTTAAACTAATTTATGAAAGAATTTGATATAAATAAAGAATTTCACGTAACTTTTGAACAAAATGGCCGAAATTTATTCCGTTTGCGGTGTTGGAAGAAGACAGAACGAAGATTAATCCCACTGAATAAGGTTGGCGTTCCGCACAGCAGGATGAACGACATTGTCAAACAAACACAAAAAGAGGATATACGTGTCACACGCATTAGGAATTTTAGATGATGTGACCAATTGGGTGGGATGGGAGAGGAGGGATGGGGGAATGGGGAGAAGATAGAAGAAGAGGAAAAAAATTGGAACTTTGGGAGAGGTTGGCGGGAGGAAGGGAAAAAATTAGTAAATGACAATAAAAAATTTTGGGAGGAAGAAATTTTAAATGACAATAAAATCTTTCGGGCTATTTTTCGTGACAAAATGCGGAAAAATTTAAATTGGAATGGGGGGTCATTTTGAATTTTTAACGAATTTAATTGATAATTATGAAAATAATTTAAATCGGGATTTCTGAATTACTTTGAAAAAAAAAAAGAAATGTTGGAAAAGAAAAAGGTTAAATTCGAGAAAAATAAATTTTGATTTAGATTTAAATTTATTTTCAAGAAAACGTGAAATTTCGAAAGAAAATATTTTTGAATTACGGGGAAAAAAATTATGAAAAGAATTAGGAAGAGGAAATTTTAAAAATATTTGGCAAGAATTTTTCAAAGAAAAATGTCAACATTTCAGAAAAAGGATAATTAATTTCGAATAAAGAGATTAATTCAGTCGTGAATTAATTGAATTTAGTCGAAATTAATTGAGGGGTTTATAATAACATTTTTAAAAGAAAAGTACTTCCGAAAAAGAGATTAGAGTTTCAACGAAAATTGCGAAAAGAAATTTTGAATTAAAATAGGGGGAAAAATAATTAATTAGAATTAATTTTAAATTTCCAAAAAAAATATCAAAAAAGAATTTTATTAATTCTAACGTATTTTCAAATTTTTGGGAAAAAAAAATTAAAAAAAATAAAAATAAAAATAGAAATGTTTTAAAAAAGAAATGTTGAAAAAGAAATATTGAAAAAGAGTTAAATTAATTCTAAAATATTTTCGAATTACAAAATTTTGAAAAAGAATGAATTAAATTTGTTTTTAAATTTCAAAGAAGAAATGCCGAGAAAGAAATGATTAAATCCTATGTATTTCGAAAATTTTGAAAAAGAAAATACGTTTGAGAAAGAAATGAGTATTTTTGAATGTACAAAAAAAAGAATATAAAATGGATGCTAGAAATAAATGAATTTTGATGTAAATCGAGGGCGGAGGGATCCTATCTACTACTGATTGGGTGGTAGTGTGGTAGGTAGGGCACGGGTAGATTGGTGATGATGATGATGATGTTGATGATAGGACGGGGACGTGAGGGAGGGGAACAGTCGCGCAGGGTGGAAGAGCGGACCCGGGGGTCGCGCACGGGGTTGCGCGGGGGGGGGCGAATGTCGGAGGAAGGAGGGGGGAGCGAGGGGGGGGGAACGATCGCGCGGGGGAAGTGCGGGCGGGCTGAAGGTGGCCGTGCGCGGGGAAAGGGGTGTGCGGGGGATTGCACTGGGGGAGGAAGGTGGGGGAAGCGGGAACGGGGCCGGGATCGGGGGGACAGGATCGGGGAGTAAGGAAGGAGTTGGGAAGGGAGGTCGAGGTTGGGATCGGCGCAGGGCGGGGCTGGGATTGGTCGGGAACGGGAGCGGGAGTCGGGTTGAGGGCGGGGGCAGGATCGGGATTGGG